TTTGCGATTCATTTGAAGTCGGTTAGATCCCTTTGGCCCTCGCGATAGTTTGTTGCAGCTCATTAGTAGCAGGAGATACGAGCCCTTTCTTCTTTCCACATTAGAAGAGCGCATCCCGCAGTCTGCTTTCCTCTACTCCAGCGTTCATTCCACTATTGTGGATAGGACGGGCATAGTGTACTGCTGTCTTTGAGTTGCAACGCACTAGTCATTGCTAGCCGTGTCTTGGTTTGTATTGCTGTTTGCAATACTTGTGATAGACAATTTGTTATATCACAGTGCGTTCATTTTAATTCTGGTTTGCACAAGACTCAGTCATTTGAGTTCACCCCGGTGAAGCTTCGCTATTCCAAGCAGTGTTCCAAGCATTCACTGTTATTTTCCCGGTAGAAACTGATTGTTTATGAACTCTTAATGATAATTTTATTGACTGTCGCGAACTAGAGCCCCGAAAGTGTTGTTCCAGATGCCTTTATCGTGCTTAGTGGTTTCATTTTAGAACTTTTTATAAGATATCTAGTCATGCCATTGATTTTTATGCTATTTTGTTTGTGACAGCCACAATAAAACATTGTCATTTACTTTCAGAACTAGGCCGTCTTCATCTATTATTAGGCCCACCTTTGAAGCATGTACTATCACACCCACAAAAGGCCATAGTACCTTTCTTTAGGGAGTAAAAGTGATTCCATCAAGTGTACATTTAACCTGTAATAAGGTGGTCAACTGGGCCAGTTGGTTGCTGTTATACGTAATGGGGAAAACAGCTCGGAAACCGCGGACTACGAAAAACAAACACTGCAGGACAGCACTGTCCTGCCTTGTTTGGCCTTCGTAGTCCGGGTTTTCTGAGCTGTTTTCGTCATCGTGTACATTTAACCCCATAGTTCCCTCCAAAGAGAGGTAAAAGCAGCGCCCTCAATTATGTCGTCTTACCTCTCAAAAGGGTTGAAATTCCTCCCTAAAGGAGGTAAAGGCTGACCCTGAAAGGATGCACTTTTAACACCAAAAGGTATTAAGGTTACCTCCAAAAGGACGCAATGTTGCACCCTAACCCAGGGGGTAAGTTTGCACCCTCGTTGCAGGGGGTAACGTTACCTCCAAAAGGGATTGCCCTGTGTGTCAGTCGGTTACCCCCTCAAGGAGGGTAGTACAGTACCCTTTTTTTAAGAGTGTGCAGCAAAAGAGGTGCCCATCATCGCTGCTGTGACACCGTGAGGATCGCGACCGGCGACAACATGTCACTTCTATGATGCCATCCGACGGAAACCAAAGAACCAATTTTAGAACGCAGTAAACACCAGTCCGAGACACGTTCCAGGCATCATTTCATTGGTCCGTTATGCAGAACTAATCCTGGTCCTGAGAAGGTCCGCCGCGTGGTTGCGAGAGAAACAAACCATGAAGCATGCATACAATCTGCCGAATAGATCGCCCTTATAGGTTAATGAGGGACTGCAAGAATTTGTGTTTGTTGTTAAGGATTGATTTATCATGGTTTACGAAACACAAGACCAATGTTCAAGCCATAGGTACACAACGTTGACTTAGGGAGGCCTCATGGCTCCAATGTGGAGTCTGCATTGGTTGAGAAGGCGCAATATTTGGCTACTGTCAATCCTAAATTTGCCTCAAATGAGTTAAGCAGGTACCCCAGGATGTATGATCGTATGTGCATTCTTTAAACGGGCCCACGTTTGGGCAACACGTTGGTAAAGTGGAGGGCCGTTTATATTTGCTCAACGTGCCCCCAAAAAAGTGGACACTCAGGTTGATCTTGTAGAATTTCACGGCTTAGGCTCCACAAATCTCCCCCAGCGTTCGCCTTCAATGCACGCACACTCACAGGTATTTAGACCTCTCCCGGACTCCGTCGTTCTGCCCGCACCGTTGCATTTGTGATATTCTACATTCCAGCGCTCATATGGTACAAGCGGCCACCTTTCAAGGTAGTGGCTTATACAAAAACAGCTTGCATGGTATTTTACTCTAGCAATAAAGCCGGTTTCTCCTTGCGTCTTGGCCGGCGAAAGAACTGTGTAAATTAAGATCGAAAAAAAGAATGAGCATGTACGACAAAGGCAACGGAACCACGTTTGAAAGATGTGTTCGTGTTGTCTTTTTCCGACATGTTTAATTTTTCTTCAATGTTGGCCCGCATCAACACGTTCTTCGTTCATCACTAAATGTATATATCAACTGCATCTTTTTAATGAAAAAGCTAAATAAAAGCATTACTAATATTTACTTACATAAGAATCGAGGACTGAAGAAATGTGTGATCATACTAAACCCTTCCAATAATGTTTAAAGCTTTTGTGTAGCAAAATGTTTACATTTCATTAGGTTGTTTCGGCAGAATATTGATTGAGTGTTAATGCTCGTAATTTACTCTCGCGTTTCTGGTACTCACACTGAAGTAAGATGTGCTTGTTTCAGTGAAAAGGCTATCCCATAAGAAGTATGATAATTTATGTATGGCTTAACTGAGTAAAATCATATCTGCTAGCGGTGCTAAGTGAAGCTGCATGAGAACGTATAAAAACCATTCACGCTTATGTTACCTATTAGCTGTACCTTGTTTTTTTATAGTTTTACTGAGTCAGTGTTGCATATTTGGTTTCAATGTAACAAACACAGAGATAGATTTCTACCTCTGAAGTGGCCATTTTAGAAAAAAGAAGAAAACATTTCTTACTGGCCTAGACGAAACAGAAACATGTAATTTAAGTAAAAAGATTGACAATCACTTAAGTCTTTGCAGCGAAAAATCTAATTATTGTAAACATATTCTTTTTCACGGTACTCTTTTTTTTTCAAAATTGTTTGAATATTTTAGGACATCTTATATAAGCTGGAGGCGCAGTCATATCATAAGTTTAGATTAATAAGATTTTGCGCTTCCGTCTTTTCATATAAAGTACACCCCACTCTTACTCCTTTATGAGCTACGCTTACCGCTATCTTTATTACTTTACGACTCTAAAGGACTCATTGTAAGGAAAATAGAAGTTCAAAATAGTGCAGCGATAACGCCTCAATTTAGCTTGGAATTAAAAGTGCAAATAAGGAATTTCACGAAGGACCTGGTAAATCGTTTTAATGTCTCCTTCTTCAAAATTTAACTTCAAACTTCAAATCAGCTTAGTTTATGAAACTTTATGTTATAAAAAGTATAGCTTCAATTATTTTTGAACCGGCTTTATTCAACAAATAAGCTTGATACGATATCAGCTGAAAAATGTCAAAATCAATAATTCCTCAAGTTTTTTAATTGCCTTAAAGCAAAATATATAAAGAACAACGACAAGTTAAATCTCTATAAAACTTCAAACTGCAATGACATTTTTCAACCTAATATTTTTTTTAGATATTAATATTCATAATAATATTGTTCATAAATAATGTTTATATGATCACGTGGTCGAGGTGATCACATTTTAGCAGTCATGGGTAAGTTACTTTTAAAAAGGAATTCGTTACAGTTACAGTTACTTCCAGGAAAAAGTAGCGAAGTTACCGTTACAGTTACCGTAACAGAAGAGTAACTCGTTACAGTTACTTTAAAAAAGAAACGACGTTTTTTTTTCAGTTACTTTTCTATAACACAAAAATTAAGAAAAAAATTTAGACACGAACCAGTCGGGCTTTTACCATAGCGGTAAATTCAAACTTAATAATTTAGCTGGCAAATTAGCCAATACTATGAAAAGAATAAAGACGAAAATTTAACTGGATCTGTTTTCTCAGATTTGAACACGAAGACTTGTTGTCGGAGTACTCCTTGTTGCAAAGTTTGCATACTGCGGTCAAATAGTTAACAACCACCTTCACCACAGAAATATACTCTCTGTACGCTGGCCATGCTAGTTTTTTGTTCTCATCAACATCCCTATCCTTGGTAGCACTAGCACATTGCCGGCTCGTTGACGGTTGCGCTGGGTTCATCGACTCCTTTGATATATTTCAGCTCGTACCCGGCAAACCAGAAACAAGCCTTGCGCAAACAGCAGTACATTTTGCCTCCACCGTTGAAACTACGCCGGAGTAGTGGCACAAATCGAAATACGAAACATGCGTAGTGCGTAGTAGTAGCGCTAATCAAAATACGAAACATACGAAGTTCCCTCCACGTGTATTTTTTTTCCACGCTTGATTCACCCGATTAAAAAGTGTGCGCAGAAAAAAGAAAAACTGCAACAGAGGTAGTGCTTCAATATACTAAGATGTAAGTGTTTAGTCACTAAGTACAAGCAAGTGCGTAAAGGTAACAACACTATTCTTTTTTTTTTTCATCAAATCTACACGTGGCTATATTCGGATAGTGACTCGCGAGAAAGAACGTATCCTCAAGTTTGTGCAAGGCCAACTGACACTCGAAATGTCGGAACAGACAATTTGGAAAGTGCAAGGAATAGCTAGATTATACTCGTTCAATGACATATTATTCACAAAGAACTGAAAAGTAACGACAAAAGTAACGTCGTTACTTTCATTGTTACCTCAGAAAAGGTAATGGAGCTACAGTTACAAGTGGCATTCCTAAAAAGTAACTCGTTACAGTTACAAGTTACCGAAGAAGTAACGAAGTTACAGTAACGCGTTAGTAGCAGCACGTTACTACCCAAGACTGGATTTTAGTCACTGTTGGGTCAACAATATCATAACTTGAATTAACAGCTGGAGCCGCAGGATTATAAATACTCGCAAAAACTCAAATAAAACAAACAGTACTATTCATAACACACGAGCGGCACCCCAACCTAGCAACAGGCCACCATCAGGACCGAGCTCAAAGGTTCGTGGTAAGTTTGGCTGACTCCACAACATCTCGAAGCTCTGTATGATTATCTTGGTTAACAAAGACAAAGAGGTAAACACAGGGACGTGGTTATCTTAACTCTAACAACAAGGGGCACTGAACGGCCTCTGGTTAAAAGCAAGTCGCATGGGACAAAAGACGCACCATCCCCCACGTACCATTTGAGGGACGCCTCAAGATGTGTTTCTACGCTTGCTGCATCATCTCGGTCGCGTTAACGTTTTCCGCGGCAGCCGGTTATTTAGTGCCAAACTGCCAGTACCCGAGGCATTTCACCGACCACGATTACACCTGTTTTGGCTTCAACAACGTCAGCGAACTGGAAGAAGAAATTCAACTTCTTCGCGCTGGGGCTCCGATCAGACTAACTCTTAAGGATAGTCGCCTGGAGCACCTGCCGTCGAGTGCCTTCGCTCACCTCACCGTTTCGGTGCTGGAGCTCAGTAACATCACCATCGACTCTTTCACGCTCTCGGAGCAGCACCCCTTCGAAGGATTCGAGGATTCACTCACTGAAATCACTTTCAGTGACGACACCACCCTCCCGGAGTCCTGGGGAATTCTGAAGACACTGCGGAAGCTGCGCCTACTTTCGCTGTCGGACATGACTCGGCTGAACCTCACCCGAGACTTCCACGAGCTGCCGTCCAGTCTGAGGGTGATCGGCATCACTTCGTCTACTCTGGGCTACGTGGACGAACACTGGCTGTCGCCTCTGGAGAACCTCGAAGTCATCGCTGTGCGGGACACCAACCTCGACCACATTTCGAGGTCCATGTTTCCGAGCCCGGCGCCGAACCTGTGGCGCCTAATGTTTCAGTGAGTTGCTGCTTGCATGTTGGTTCTTCATCAGCTAGATTGCCAGGAGCAGAATACAGATGCGGAAAAAATATGATTTACAAATTAGTAGCTTCAAAGGCCGCGGGAACTCCCCCTTCAATACATTAAGCTATTCCTGAACTGAAGGAAAGTTAAGACAAAACGAACTCTTAATTATCTGTCAAGAGTTTGGCATAAGAGCTCACGCTGTCACAGATAGGAAGCCTTAGACTTTAAAGTGCAATACTCAAAGGTGAACTAAAGACGTTTTTGAGATTGTCTGTTGTTGGTGATAACTCATTCTACGTGAACTTAGCATCCCAGAAATCCAAATATTATGCTTGCGCGACGTCTATTTCCCTACTAAAATCTGATCGAAGCTCGTGCCACGCCCCCTCTCTGAACGGAAAACTCTGGAGCACAGGATTCAGCGGAGGCGCCGGCGGCGTGACGACGGGTGCCCGTCAGCCAATTGCAAGCCGCCTTTTCGAGAGAAGGCGGCTTGCAACTGGCTCACGCGCCCATCGTCACGCCGCCGGCGCCTCCGCTGGATTCTGTGCTCCAGAGTTTTCCGCTCAGAGAGGGGCGTGGCACGAGCTTCGATCAGATTTTAGTAGGGAAATATACGTCGCACAAGCATAATATTTTGATTTCTAGGATGCTTGGAGCCTGTAAGGCACGTTATTACCAAATACAGACGATCTCAGAAACGCCTTTAGGGCACCTTTAAGAAATCCGAGGGGTGTGCCGAGTTTTTTTTATAAAACTGCATCCCAAAAAAAATATTAAATGTTTCACGAATCCTGAGAGCACAAGGACTGCCAAAGAACAACGTAATGCTCCTCAGGAGTGTAAGCTTTCACCGGCTTATGATGAGCGGACTGTATGAAACGCCAAAGCATCATGAATCACCCACTTACAAACACGGTGGCAGGAGATTATAAAATAATGACCACCAATAAGACGTTAAACATTTGAACAAAGCAGTGTTGGCAAAATACCCGAATCTTACGATGATTTCTGGGCCATCAGTTATTCGTTATCATTTGTCCCTATATCAACTAGAGTCCATATTTAAATACAATTAGTTAATTAGTGAACTCAAGTTTCTGCCCAGGGAAACACTGTAGAGTCCAACACCATCCATCGTATTCCTTTTAAAACATTTTGTGAGAGGATTCCCGGGGATATGATGAATAAAAATGTCTTTAGCTAGCTGGGCTTAGGTCGTAAATTTTTGCGTTGAGCAAAATTTCATGTGCGAATTATATGGTATTCTAGACAACAAGCTTTGTGTTGTTTTAAGAATAATATTGTGTTCTAATATCTTCCAAACATACTTTTTTTTATTTCAGCAACAACACCCTTAAGTACATCCCGAAGGACCTGTGTGAGGACATGCCCAAACTGATCGCCGTAGACCTCGGCGACAACAAGATTCAAACCCTCGCCGAAGAGAGCGTTTCACCAATATTTAAGCAGCCCCTTCATGACCTTATCATTGCGGGTGCATTTATCTTTCTTATATTTTTAAATTATTTTTTTTTGCGCTGAAACTGGAAAACATGTTATTGAGATCTTTCTTTTTGTCCTCTTATGTGTACAGGAAACCCATTACACTGCGACTGCAAGCTACGTTTTCTACGGCCTCACGTCAAAGGATGGCGTATGAACCGATGCGCCACTCCCCCCTCCTTGAAGGGACATCACCTCAAGTGGCTTACAGACGCCGAACTCAAATGCTGACAGTCCGAACGGAGAGATAATTCCAAAATCAAGGGTAATCTTTGTGAAAGCCGTTGCCTTTGTAATTCAACCTATATAAAGTGTTTGCATGGCGCAGTTGCTCTCTCTCGCATTTTTGTCAATGGAGAGTGTTTTTTAAATTTTTTTCTTAAATTTGTGTTGTTTTATGTTTATACTTTAAGACGGTTTTTCAGCTATGGGGTCCTTTGCAAGCTTCTTTTAAAAATACTGAGAAAGTTGCTTTCTGGGTGGGAAAAGTCGCTAGAATGAAAGTTAAGACTGTTGTTTTATCGCATCAGTAGCTGGTCGGGTTTCGAGGATGACACAGAAGCCAGCCACGAACAGGATACGGTTAGTATCTGGGAATTTCCAAAACATTGCGGTAAAAGAGAGGAGATAAAAACGACCCACACTACCAGAATAGCTGTCGCAAGGAGCTCTCTCGATAACGAATCTGACTCTGCTGGGCCTACTGTTGACAGGCGCTGGCTTTGAGCGTCCGATATCCCCTCCTAAGTCCACTCTGGTAACAGCAGTCTCCGTCAATAGACATTTTATTAGCGGAGGATCGGAAAATCTCGTTACTTAGAACAATTCGTCAATGGAAGGACCATTTGCGTGTAAAGTCGTGTTCACTTTTTAGCAGGTGTTGATTTGTATTGGCAATAGTATACACATTTTTCACAAGGGCGCAGCCATCTTGAATGTCGTCACTTTGTCACTTCTGGTAGGCGGTAGAACATCGTTTTGATTTCTCCACGCCGCTGAAATGTGTTTACAAAAAATGCGTGATTGTCGCAGATTCTTGTTTTTTCTCACCTAAATTTTCTCGCATAATCCAGGTTGAAACATTTTATTATTTTTTCGCCCCTCCTACCAGATACAAAACCCTCGTTACTGAGAACGACAGGAAACAGAAAAAAACTTTATAGATGCCTAAACGTAGCTGGAGCGCCAGCGTTCTCGCGCCTGAGTGCTTACGAAAAAAATATCAAAGCAAGCAACAATATAACAGGTCCAGGCTCCGTAGATAGTTTCGAAATTCAGGGCAAATGTTTATATAATATTGACACGCAAGCTACTAAATAAATTACACATATTAGATATTTATCTGTCGATACATAACACAGGAACAACAAGAAGAAGAATTATAATTTCTGGAGCGAAAATGAAAAAGCAATCAATACTTCTTTCACACAAAACAAATAATATTGTGTGTGCATGCTTTTAGTTAAGGTATACAATTGTTGCAGTGATAACTAAAGTCAGTGTAACTTTTTTGATTTCCAGTAACGCAGAAACCTAAAAAATTCCTTTTGGATTTTCTGTTTTTTTTTTTAGACTTTAGACGTTTTTTGTTTGGTAATTCTCAATGCATGATATTTTGATGGAACTATATTTTCTCTAAAACTATAATCTTAGTGCCTTTTGCATAGCATTGAAATAATACATCTGGTTTGCTTTAAGCGTTTCGTGCTTGGATAAATGATGGTGTAAAGTTTCATGTGAAACCGAGTGAAACATTCACTTTCTTTACGTCACTGTGTATTAAATTTTCTGTCTTGTATATGTATCTGGCCGCCTGACTGTTATAAATCCCCATAATGTATACATATGTGTTGTCCCAAGTCCAAAAGCGTTCTCATTAAACATGACTGTGAAAAACATTGCGTTCTACTTAAGATATGGGGGTGCATTTAAACTGCAGATGTTTTGGCGTTAAGTTTAAGTTGATTCCTTTTCAGCCTTCGTGAAGGTTTCAAAGGATACTTATTCGCCTATTGGTCAAGCGACAATTCAGCAAGTCAATGACTGTTATCACTTTTTTATTTTGAATCTGAAGAATGAAACTATAAAAAATTTCCTACAGTACACCAAAGTTGAAAGCTGGTCTAGTTGGTGTAGGCTAAACATAATGGAGGTAAAACAGCGCAGAACGACAAAGACTAGAGGGAAGGAACAAACAAGACGGGACAGGCGCTGACTCGCAACTGAACGTTTTATCACCGAAAACATAAATAGTAAACACGCAAGGCAGCAATCTACACATGTGCCAATCTTTCTGCCACATCATATAGGCCGCCTGTCATTCACGTGCCGCGTGCTTCACCAACCCCCCCCCCCTCCCTTTTTTTTCTATGTCGAAGTCAAGAAACAACACTATTTTGACAGATAGTGTCAACGATGGCTCGCTGATGCACTGCGTCCCACTTTCCGCTATGTAAAAAGCCTCTATCACCTCCCTCGTCACCTTGTCTTTGTGCCTATCTACAAGCACGGTCTCCTCGAAGGACGGCTTGCACAAACAGCTCTTACAGTGCACCGCCAAATGCCCTCCAATTGTGGCTCTCAATGAATAGTTGTGTTCCCTGAGCCTATCATTAAACACCTCCCCGTCTGTACAATATAGACTTTACCACACGAGAGCGTGAACTTGTATACCACTCCGGAAACACAGCTCACAAACGGCTTTGCGTGTTTTTTGTACACTTGCTCTTTGACAACCTTTCTGCCTTGGCCCTTATCGCTCAACTTCTGGGGGGGGGGGGGGGGGGGGGGAGGGCGGTAAGCAGCACAGGGACGTCGTACCGACTTCCTACTTTGTTTAAATTGTGAGAGGTTTTGCGCAGGTATTGGATGACGACAGTCCTTCGCCTGTCCACCACTTTCTTAGGGGGAGAGGTTCCATTTACCTATTTAACAAGGGTGTCGGCAACATCACACAGCAAAGCACTCTGAAACGCAGAGTCTCTTAGCCTATTGCGATGCGCCTGAAAGCTCTCATGCACCGTGTGGACACAGGACCTATTTAGGGCCGCGTCCAAGCACGACATCGTAATACCCCTTTTTATAACCTTTGAGTGGGCTGACCTATAGTCTAAGATGGCCTTTTTTGACCGAGGGCTGTACGCCTAGCAGATATGACCGCCGCCAAAGCGAAGTGAAAGGTCCAAAAACTGCTGGACCGCCTCGTTGGGGACCTCTGACGTGAACTTGATGCCCCCACCACATTCGCCAAAAATTGCCAAAACGTCAGTCACTGAGGATGCCGTGAAAACCCTCCAGGAACAATAAAAAGCATCAACATAGCAAACCACCTTTTTAACCGTGATGTAACTTAGAGACCCTTCAATGTCGCGGTCAACTTCACTCAAGTAAATATCACTCAATACGGGAGCAACACACGAGCCAATACAAACGCCCGACCTTTGAACTAGCAATCATTCTTCCCCCCAACCACCATCGACTCCTGGTAAAATTGCAACATTTCAAGGGACACACCACATGAATATCTAAACGACAGTTCATTGAACATGATTGTAAACCTGAGACTGGGGCAGGAAGAGAACACAACAGAAGGCAGTAAAAGAGGAGGCAACGTCTCAAACTCAGCTGCAAAGTTTATTTCGAACACGCTTTACATACCCCATCTCCAACGTCGTCTCTACAAAGGAAAAAAAAACATGACAAGAGGACAATGACACTTCGGTAAACCTTCTCTTATCTCCCTTGACCTTGACTGTGGGACACTCACACAAAGGGACACATTCTAGCATAACCATCGCTACCCGGCGAACGTAGGTGAAAACACTACTGAACACAAAGAAAGGGTTTGACCTTCAAAGGTGCGTTCCCTCTAACAAATCACTCAGTCCAAAGAAACAATACTATACACTGCTGCAGCCGGAACTGGGGCCATCTCCAAAAACGAGAACGACATTGCCCTCCTACCACGAACCACAAATGGATAACACGGCGACTTTCTCGAACAAGTCCAAGGATACACATATAAACAACACTAGTACTACAAAAAAAAAATTTACAAGCGTAGAAATTGTTTACATTCGTTCCCAAACGGTGCCTTCTTGATGCTGTCCCAGTGCTGGAACTCCTTGCGACGCCTGTAGCCCATTCCCAAGAGGAGGTCCCAAAGTATGTTGCACGCCGTGTAGAGTTCTTGTATTCTCCTGGTGGCTCCTTCCCTGTAGACCTTGATAACTTTCTTCTTTGAACTCCAAGATAAACCACTTGTTGATAGATGTCTGAACTGCGCTGGGTCGATGAAGTTCTTCCGCAACGAAAGCCCATAGTACGCTACGTCTGCTTCCAGTTCCGCCAAACGAAGTGCCAACTTGCGTCGCAAGGAGTTCCAGCACTGGGACAGCATCAAGAAGGCACAGTTCCACAGGATCTGGTATGTCAAGCGAACGCAAGTCTTGAACTCTGTTAAGATAATGAAGAGGAAGGAGAATTGTTTGCCATTGGCATGGCGTAATGCTCAGAGTGTGTCGGGATCGCGTTTAAATGTAGTCAACCCTTGTAGCATTTCGATTTCAGAAAAAACGAAAAGTTTTTTATCCAAGGGACCTAAATTTTGTCTCAATGTGAGGCCTTCCAGACTCGATGTATTTTCCGCAGTTCAAAACGTTGCGCGCGTAGTAGGTTATGATGAAAAGACGGCTTTTTTGGGTCAGACGGTGGGGAGATTAGATAAAATCATGGGAGATATGTACTTGAAAGAAAAAAAGGAATTTTAAGGATGTAAACATGGTCAAGAATGAGATAGATTCACGGTCGTTAAAATTACTCCAAACAGATAAATCGGGGAGGTTTGGTATCCTCCCGATGAAAGAATTTCAAAACAAAGCTGAAAATGCCATGAGTGTATTGTTCAAGGACTGGAACGGAAAGTTGGCAAAGATGAGAAGGGACATATGCACAGTGTTAAAGGAAGAAGATAAAGAGCAAGTTGTCAAAAGCATAATGAGTCAATCCAAAATGTACCTATGTTTAAAATTTTTCCTAAAGGACCATAAAGTGGAGATGCCTCTCAGAGTGGTGGTAAACGAAAACAAAACGTGGCAAAAAGTTGTATCTAAGTTTCTGCAGCATGGCTTAGGTCAGGTCAGTTTAGACAAATCCTTATCCCTGAGAAACACAGAAGAACTCCTTCAGATCTTAGAACACAACCATGGGAGGAGGTGTTCGGTATTCTCCAT